AACAAGACGGGGGGACATCCCGATTGTCCCCCTGAGCCTCTCCAGCCTCGGGTGATCCGCAGGAAGAGTGCGGGCGGTTACAGCTACCGAGACGTCCAAGCTGATGTGCTTGGAGTCTGGCTCCTGCCCCTTCTAGGGCATCCTTCACAGTTTGCTGTTTCCCCCTTTCTTGCCTTTTTTCTTTTTTTTGAGATATGGGGAGTTTCAAGTGCGGATGATAAGGGGCAGAGCAGGGTGGGGACCATTTGCTGGAGAGATTAATTTACAAAGCAAGTGAGCAGCAGGGGAGAGAGCACAGGGAGCGGTGGGGAGTCCTTGTCATGCCTGGCTCCATGTGGGACACACGGATCCCCAGGCAGGAAGGATTATCCCTGGGAATGCCGGAGCCGGCGGGACACGTGGCTGGTGCTCGATTTGGTTGGAAAGGGGCTGCGGGCCGCGGCGGCGGCGGGCACAGGGAGCACAAGGACGAGCGCCGTGTGCCGGAGGGCCGATCTCCCGGCAGGGTTTTCCATCACCGGGTGCCTTGCTGGGAATGCCGGAGCCTCCTGGTGGGCCTGTCCCAACAGCCGGCACTGGCCGCCAAAGGGATTGACTCCAGCTCCGCAGCTCGCCCGGTTGCCTCCTCCCAGCGAATAAAGCTTATTTGGCACTGGGAAATCAGTACAAACTGCAAACTTGGAGAGTTGGGGACAAGCGACCCCCAAAACGCTGCCTGGTTGACGCTCCGCCTGTTCCCGGTGTGATAAATAACAGCTGGCTTTTCCATCGCTAGGAAATGAATCACGGTGGAGGCAAAACCCCGAAGGAGGCTCGGCCCAGCTAGGAGAGCCGGGACGGGAGCTGCTGCAGGAGCCGCACTAACTCCACGGCCTCCAGCCTGTCCTGCCCCTACTAACAAATGTCAACAACGAGGTAACGTCCTCGGTGTGTCCCGTCCGGCCCGGCCTGGGGGTTAAGGTGCAGAAACGTCTGTTTTCCCAGCTCCGTGGGGCCTGTGTCCCAGGGGATGAGGTAGGGCTCGACCGTGAGCCGTGGAAAAGGGAGCAGTTGTTAGCAGAGCCCAGAGAATCCGAGTCTCGCTCCAAAATTGTGCCAAGGTTGGGTGAAACCAGCCAGAGAGGATGCTGCAAAGGGGCCTGTCGAGCCCCCCTGAGCAAGGGATCCAAGTGTAGGATTGTAATTGGGGATGAGGCTGTAGCTGGGAGGCCCAAGGGAGGATTTCATTTCATTCCTGAGCTTTGAAAGCACCAGGTCGCCTTCAGGCAGAGGGGGAGGCTTGTTCATTGCACCTGCGAGGCCTTGAAATGGAGCCCAAACACAAATCCCTGGATTTCAGGGCCTTGTGCATCGCAGGATCGTGGCTGTGCCCTGGCTGCAGCTGCTGTGCTTGGGGAGGGGACGTGGGATGTTCCCCCGCGCCAGATCCCACCAGGAATGTGACTATGGCCAGTGCCTGGGGGTTTAAAGCAAAGTCAAATAAAGACCCCCAATCCCTGATGCACCTGGGTTCTTGGGTCATGGAAACTTTCCTTCCTGCCTCTCGAAATGCTCGAGTTACATCCTGCTCCCTGACACTCCATTCCTCAGCGGAGCTCACGTGTTCCTGGTTCGGAGTCGCGGGCAGCGCCCGGTCCAGCGCTCCCCCGGCAGCTGCGCTTTGTGCCGAGGGTTTCCTTTGATTCATTCTCAAGTGAGCCGCTGTTAATCCTGCGATGTGACCTCTTAATGCAGGATGCGCTTCCCAAGCGTGAGTCAAGGAAGGAAGCGCTGTGCCGAGGGGAAGGCGCTGCTGCTGCTCGTGTCCCCGCGCTCCCTGCATCCCGCCGCGCTCCCTGCATCCCGCCGCGCTCCCGGAGCTGCTTCCCGGATCTCCCGGGAAGTGATGCTAACCCGGCAGCTAACGCAGCAAAGGCGCCATGGGCTAAAGTGCATGAAGATGGTGAAAGAAAGCTTCAGATCAGGCTAAATACACTGTAAAACCACAAATCACGAGGCTGGCTCTGGCACTCCAGCTGCAGTGTGCAGGGCTGTGGGATGTGCCCGAGATGCGAGATTGCAGCATCCTCTTTGCACATCTGCCCGCGAGCTGCACGTTGCTCCTTGGGTCCATGTGCATGAAAGAGCTGAGGGTAGCAGCCAGCTGTCGCTGGCACCATCAGGCTGCAGCTCCTGGGAATATCTGAAGATATGGAGAGATCCGAGAGGTGCCGGGACCACCGGAGCTGCGTCTCGGATCGCTGCAGCGGAGGCGAATAGCAGAAGTGTCTCCAGCAGTGCAGGACGCAGCCCCCGTGCAAGGAAGTCGTGCACCCGCCGCCCTGCTGAGCTTCCCCTTCTCCCCTTCCCGTTGCAGGGAGCAGCCCATCTTCAGCACCAGGGCCCACGTTTTCCAAATCGACCCGGCCACCAAGCGGAACTGGATCCCTGCCAGCAAACACGCCCTGACCGTCTCCTACTTCTACGATGCCACCCGCAACGTGTACCGGATCATCAGCGTGGGGGGCACCAAGGTAGCGCATCGCGGCACCGAACGGCGCGATCCTCTCCAGCCAAAAACTCCTACGGAATCGATGCTTTGGGGGTCAGGTTGATCAGTGTTCAGCATGGGGCACTCCAGTATCCTCACCTCAAGGAGTGGAAGGTGGAAGGGTGTCTCCGTGCTCAAGGGTATTCACTGTTAGGCAGGAGACCCGGTGCTGACGTGCAAAGCGCAATTTCTTTGCGAGAGCCACGGCCCTGTGCAGAAAACAACCTCCACAAATGTAATGAAATCACAGAAAGACGGAGGCTGAGGGACTCTGAGGCAGTCAGTTCAGTCATGTCCACAAACAAGAGTAATTCCCCTGAACATTCCTTGATAGATTTCCCAATTTTCTTTTTTCTGAAGAATTCCAATGGCAGAGATTCAGCACTTTTCCCAGGCAATTTGCTTTGGTTCTGCCCTAACCAACAGAGCGTGCTTCCTAATAGCTAGCTCGGAGTGCTGTTTAAGCCCTTTCCTTTTTTATCTTTCATACTTACCATGAAAATGGGGAACATCAGAAAGTTGCTCAGTCCCTGGAGATGTTGTGTGTCTTATCTTTCCTTCCAGCCGTGGAGCCTCACTGAAGCTGCCTATGTTTCTTGCAGCAGACAGCAAAATTGAGATTTTTTTTCATGTCACACACCCAGGCTAGAAAGACTTTGGTCACAAGCCCAAAGAACTTAAAAAAAAACAGGACTCCTACCTCCAGTTCCCAGGTCGGGGCGTCCCACGCTGTGGCCATGGGCAGCAGGACAGCGGTTCCTCTGACTCTTGTTCTTCCCTTCTTCTTGTTCTTGTTCTTCCCTCTACAGGCCATCATCAACAGCACCATCACCCCCAACATGACCTTCACAAAGACCTCCCAGAAGTTTGGGCAGTGGGCGGACAGCCGCGCCAACACAGTTTATGGCTTGGGCTTTGCATCGGAGCAGCATCTCTCCCAGGTAATGCTGTAGGTGCCGGCAGAGCTTTGATTCCAGCATGGGAATGCCCCAGAATCCCCAAAGGAGACATCAGCTTCAGGAGAAGGGACTTCAGGATCCTGGTGTTATGCAGTTCCCACTGTGCTAAAATCGAATGCAAAGATGATAGGAGAAAAAAAAAAGCTTTAAAATCATATTTGCAAAGTGTATAACAAGTTGAATTAGGACTTGGGGCCCAATGTCTAAATCTCTTTCAAAAATGTTGTGCCTGCTGAATGTGCTATCGCTGCTCAGCTAATTCCCCAGCCCTGGCTGCCAGCATCGTGGATGGGGGTGGCAAGGGGCTGTTTCCTGAGTCTGAGCTGAAGAGAAAGTAAAAACACATTGAACGAAGCAGCAGAGCGAGGAAGGGTGGCCCGGGCATCCATTCTGGCTTGTTCTGCATTTCAGTTTAGCAGCAGAGCTGACCCTGACCCCAGTTCTCCTCTCTAGTTTGCAGAGAAATTCCAGGAAGTGAAAGAAGCGGCGCGGCTGGCGCGGGAGAAGTCCCAGGACAAAACGGAGCTGACCAACCCTGCCCTGAGCATCACGTCCCACCAGGTACCGCCTGGACGCGGGGCTGGGAGAGCGCGTTGGGGACAGGGGAGAGCAGTCCCCGTGCCGGTGACCGCGTCGGCACCCGTCGCTCGTGGGAGCTTCTCCCTCCATGCATCCCACGGGGGTTGGAGCTTCACGTTTTGATGGCGCCTGTGGCCCCTACTGAGGCAGATTAAGTAATTAATTAATTACTGCTTAAGCGGGGCTCCTGGGAAGGTTCGTACCCCTCCCTCGTTGCTGGTTAAGGTGTCAAAACCACTCGATGTGTGATGAGGCCGCGCTGGAGGAGCCGTTCCGCTCCTTGGGGCTATGGGGCCTCCCCACGCTCCATGCGACCATCATGGGCAAGCAGCACGTGGGAGTGCAGGATGAAGGCTGGGGGAAGGAAAACATGCAGCACTTCTCTTTTTTTCCCTTTCTGGGTGTGATTTCTTAGAGCTGGTGACTAAGGAATCCTGGCCAAACTTTTTCCCCATTTCTGTCTTGTTTCTGCTGTGGAAAAGAAGTATCTGCCACATGAGAAATGGCTGTGGCCCATTTGCAATCCCTGTTAGCGCAACTCTGCCAGGGTGAAGCCAGTCACTCAATTTCCTTTCCCCAGGAGATGCAGCAGGATTCTCCACGCTCATGGCGCTCTTCCTCGCGTGCGCTGCGCTCGCAATCGTCACCGGCCTCCCTGTGTGGCAGCACCAGCCCCAGCAGCAGCGGGGTGGCAGGGAGGGAGTGTGTGGCAGGGGGTTTCACTCCCTCTTTTTCTAACGGTGCAGCAATCCAGAGGTGACAGGGAAGGTGCCCTCCCAATGCTGCTCTCCACAGGTGACTCGACATTCCCTCGAGCTCCAGGCCGTAGGAAAGGATCTGTAGGATGGAGGGCGGCGCGTGCTCTGGGTTGGGCACAGATGGAGGAGGAGGAGGGAGCGCAAGCGGTACCTTGGCCTGCAGGGAAAGGAGGGGGATGCGGTGGCTCTGCAGAGACTGGAAATGCCACATGGGGAGGAAAAAAAGGGGAAAATCTGCCGAGTTCATGGCATGGGCTCTGCCCCGTCCTGATGGCTGGGGAAGGAGGACTCGAGCAGAGCAGGAGTAGCCAAGCCGGGCGCTCTGGTCAGCAGCTGTTGTCCAAGGCAGTGATTCACAGCTGGCTGCAGCCAGGAGCGCTCCCTGGCCTGCGAGGGGGAGCCTGGGAGTTGGGATAATCCTTGTGCTGTTTGCAGCGGGCGGAATGCGCCCGGAGCGGGAGCGGGACACGCGGCTCCTCCCCGCGCTGCTGGCAGCAGGAGCGATGGGAAGCGCTGGTTGAACACAGCGAAACGGCCTCGGACTCCGCGTTCCTCCCCGCTCCGGCGGGGCCGAGCCTGCCTGCCCGCGTTCCCAGCTGGCACAGCCCGTCTCGGAGCTCACGCACAGGAATGCAGGGCCCCAGCGTGCGGCTGCCAGCGCGGTGACACGCGGTGACACATGCCATGTCCCCCGCGCACGGGCATGCGCGCCAAGCACAGCCCAAATACCGCCGCACTCACACACACACGCTCCTTTTCCACGGTCCCTGGGCTCATGTTCAGACTTTACATCACTAGAGCTGCACATATGAGTCTCATCCTTGAATAATTGATCGTGCTGCTGTTTGCCAGGGAGGAGAGAGCAGATCTGTCTCCTGTAATTAAATCAGGTCTTCCTGATTTTCTGCCTCTCTGCTGGTTTATTTAGGCTCCAGCCTTTCGGAGCGGTGGAAATCCCTGGAGAGCAGCTCTCCCCGCCGCTTTCTAGGATCTTGCAGGCCGCTCATCATCCCTTTTAGCATCTCCTTCGCAGAGTTTGTCAGCGGGGATGATAGCGGCACAAAACCAAGCGGAGCGTCTTTAGCTGCGACTTAGCTGGGCCGCGGGGGTCAGGCATCGGAACAGGAAACTTCAGCCCCTGCGTTTCGAAGGTCTTGGCTCTTGGTTGCTCCCTGGAAGGCTTCTTGAAGCCGGTGTTGGACGCATCCCTGGCCCTCTCTATTTATAGGTGTCAGCCGACCCCGAAGGCAGGTGGCTCTGGCTGTCCTTATCGCTGGCATTTGAGGGCTACCTCTCACCTCGGGCTCACCAGCCACCTGGTCTCAGCCCCAGCTTTAGTATTCCCCAGGCTGCGAGTGCAGCCTGTCTTTTTATAGCTGTTTGCCTTGTCTGTGCCAAGGCTTCTCCCTGCGGTGAGAGCCGGGAGGGGAGCTGCGAGACAGGGTCTTTTGGAGGGTGTAAAATGCACCGTGGGCTTCGTGTCAGTCTCTTCCAGCCTGTGGGCATGAACTGTGCATCTCTGACGTGCAGGAGCATGGAGCTATAGGACTGGGCATCCTTTGGTGCAGGGGCTTTGACTCGCTGCTCCTGTTCCTTTGGAAAGGGGCTGCTGCCATCGTCCGAGCCATAACAGTGTTCCCCTCTGTTGAGCCCGTGTCTTAATGCCGGCTTCAGAACACAGCTGAACCAGGTGTCAGGTCGCTTCTTCGGCTTTAAGTCTTTCCACTGCACTGAGAACCAGCAAAAAATCCCATTATAAGGCCCAGCAAAACCCTGGATGCCTGAAAAGGGCAGTTTGAGCAGCTTGGCGCGTTGTGCCCGGGCACGAGGCTCAGGTTCCGCTGGCATTTTTCAGGGGGAAGTCAAAGGCCAGAAAGTTCAATCTGAGATAAGGAGGGAGGAACAGGTGCCGTGCGCGGCCGCGATCCCACCTGCTCGGGGTGTCCGTGCCCTGGGCATGGAGAGGGAAGAGGAGGATGAGCAGCTGCTGCGAGCAGGGAACGCGGCGGCTCGTCCGCCTGGGGGGAGTCTCCGAAATCACGATTATCCCACAGCTCTCGCTGATGAGCCGATCGTGAGGCTCTTTGCTAGCCCATGGGGATCAAAAACCAGGGATGCTCCCGAGATTGCAGGGCTGGGAACAGCCCCGGAGCGGCCGAACGGCCCAGCCTGCGAGTGAGTCTGCAGAGCGCTGGTGGCCGCGCGTCTCGGGCCTCACTGCTGTGCAATAACCACCTCTCCTTCTCTCCCAGGTGCTTCCCAGCCCCATCATCAGCTCCAATGGACCGGGGGAAGACAAGCTGTTCCGAAGCCAAAGTGCTGATGTTGAGATAACGACAGAGAAGGAGCGCCTGAAGAAGATGCTTTCGGAAGGGTGAGGCTGCCAGGGCTGCTCTCTGCCCCTGGCTCCTAAACTGGCTATTCCGGAAGAATTGGAGAATGTCTCTGTCATCCCCGTGTCACAGGGTCCCCAAATGACAGGGTGGTCCCAGCCCAAATGCCGGCAACTCAGTGTTTCCTCTTCAGACAACCAAGTAACATCCCAGGTCCTCTACCAAACCCATTTCCCTTCCCTATGAGAAGTTTTTTCCATCTTGGAGGTGGAATCTGCTGCTCAGGCAGTGTGGGAAAGACAAGGCTTTGTGCCTGCAGCAGTGATGGGCTGATGCCAGTTATCCACAGAGCAGTAGTCTGTGATAGCAGAAGATGTTCACACTTCTCCAGCTGGCCTAAGGCTGCATTTGTGTTAATTCCCCTGGTGATTCCAGCAAAGTCTCTGCTACTTCTAGTCTTTGTCTATTAAAAAGACTCCAGACTGGATTCTGCCCTGTAGCTCCCATGGTGCTTTAAATATATTTGGAATATAGTTAAATTAAAAGTAAGTGTCTCTTGCTACCTTATCCTAACTGCAGGATGGTAGTGGTTGTATTCATAGCAAACTTGGATCTAACACGGGTTTAAAAAAGGATTCACAATCCCACGTTGCAAAGCCCTTTTCTAGTAGATGGATCTCTCCCCAGTCACTAAACTCGCGGTGTGATTTCTGCAGTTTCCAGTGAGACACATGGTCTCCAAGTGAAATATCCTCTGGGGATAGAGATGCAAATTCAGGGCTGGAATGTGTATTTAATTTTGGGAAGCAAATTGAAAGCCAAACTGATCGCAATGCAGGAGCAGGGAGCCGCTCAGCTCTTCCAAGCACTTGGTTTGCACTGCGGGGAAGAAACCTTCGTGCTGAGACTCCCTTGTAATCCCTGCGCCCTCCCTGTCGCCCCGCAGCTCCGTGAGCGAGGTCCAGTGGGAAGCCGAGTTCTTCAGCCTCCAGGACAACAACAACAAGCTCGTGGCTGCTCTGCACGAAGCCAACGCCAACGTGGACCAGTGGAAGAAGCAGCTGGCTGCGTATCAGGAGGAGACAGAAACGCTGCGGCAGCGGGTGAGATGAGGGGGTTCTTGCAAAGACCTGTTCCCACAGGGATAAACCAGGGCACAGAACCAGACAATTCCTGCTTCCCTCTTGGATTTGTCTCCGAGTGGTTCCCAGCTGCCGGCAATGTTGAACAAGGGCTGTGTTCCCCAGAGCTGGGCATCAGGGCAGGCTTTTAGGCTGCTATAATTAGCTATAATTATAATTAGCTTGGGTCCAGGCTGCAGCCTTATGAAACGCGGGTGGCACGGTACAAACGCCCCCTTGTTCGGCTGGAATAATAGGATCTTTTGACCTGTGCAATGTCAGAGAGGTCATGGAGCAACTGAGGAGGCCTGTGTGCATGGGCAGGAGTGACAGTCACACGGCCAGGCCCATTGGGAGGGAAGAACCACAAAGCATCTGGAAAAGGGTTTTAGGGCCTTTGGGATTTGGCTGGGAAGGGACTCGGGAGAGCTGGTGAAGGAGGCATGAAGCTGTTTTGCTTCTAGGTCACTCATTCAAAAGACAGCAGGGAATTACAGCAATTCCCAGCTGTTTCCACTTTGATATATACCATAGTGTTTTGGGAGAAGATCTGATTTGTGAAGGGTGGATTCTGGCTGTGACCACAAGCCTGGCAGCTCATGACCGCGCTCACGCAGCCCCAGCCTGTAGGAAAGCATCACACTGGGGTTCAAGGCCCATTTCTGAGAGATCCCATCCCTGAAGCTGCTCTCCTAAAGCTCAGCGCAGACCTTGTGAGAGCTCGGGGCCCTGCAAAGCTGCTGCAGACCATCTGATGAGCCTTTAAAAATGAATCCTCTCCATGAATAATTTAAGCCACGGGGCTGCATTTTTCCAGAACGGGGAGAAGGTCTGGGCAAACCCTTCCCCCGGCCTTGCGGTGCGGAGCTGCTCTAAGTCCCTTGTCCTTGGCCAGGGTCTGCCCAAGGGTGTAAAGAGAGCAGATCTGGCCATCCTTATGGACTGCAGGCTCATGAAGTCTGTGCGTGGTGTCAGCCAGACTTTGCTGGAAGTGTGAGACTGCAGGAGAAGGCAGAGAGAGAATCTCTAGCCAGATTTCTGCTTCAATGCGTTTCTGTGCATGATCTGCACAGAGAGGAAGGAGGGAATTTTTGCCAGGATGGGAGCTGCCACCCTGTTGTGAGCCTGGTTTTCCACAAAGCCAAAATGCAGCAGGGCATGGCCGTCCTTGGCAAGGGTCAGGACGCATCTCTGAGCATCCCGTCCCCATTCCCCCTCCCGTGCAGGTAGCGGAGCTGGAGTCACAGGGAGCTCACGACTCCGCTGGGGAGAACAACAAGGAGGATCTGAGCCAGACGCTGGAGGAGCTGGAGCTGCTCATCAAGACGAAAGACGAGGTACCGGCCCCGCGCCTGGTCCTGGTGGGACGCGGAGCCAGGACGTCCCTGCGCAAACGGCGCAGAGCAGAGAGCGCCCGACCCTTCCCCTCGCAGCCCTCTGCAGCTGCCCTTGGTGCAGTAACTGGCTCTCGTCTAAAATGAATGATTTCAAGCACAGTTTTAATTACGGAGGCTGCGAGGGAGGGGAGATGTGCAGAGCAGCGCTTGGATTTGCGCGGCAGCGGACACTGCGATGGCTGCGCGTCCGCAGGGTGGGTGGACACGGCCCTCGAGCTGGAGCCAGACAGCAAGGACAGGGGTGCAGAGCAGAATGCAGAGGCCACGGGGCCTCCCCGGTGCTCGGCTGGTCTCCTGATCAGGCACCAGGCACTTGGAAGAGGCCACAAGTACTGCGGAAGCGGAAGGTCACAAAAGCAGGGCATTAAGGGAGACAAATCTGGGGGCTGGATGTGATTGTGTGACCTTGGAGTGAGGCAGAGAGAGCCTTGGGCGAGATACGTGGTGGGAATAGGTCCTTCTGTGCAGGGGTGGATCTGGCATTGTGCTCATTTTCATTGTGTTTTAGGAAATTCAGATGCTGAAGAGCCAGAAGTGCAGCCGGTGGGAAGCGGAGGGTGAGCGCGAGGAAACGCTGCAGAAGCTGCAGGTGAGGATGGCAGATCTGGGGCACCTCTGCACAGTGCAGACGCATCTGTCCCCATTTCTCGTCTAAACCAGGGTGATTTTCGCAGAGCTGCCAGGCCTGTCTCCCTCTCTGGATGATGGGGACTAGTCCTTGCCTGTGTCCCTGTCTCCTGCAGCCTCCCTGTGTCGCTCAAGGACGCAGCATGGGACGCAATGGGCAGGCAGTAGCAAACCCAGCCCGCACGTGCTCCCTGCTGGGGTTTGCTGCAGCTCCGAACGTGGCACTGGAGCATCCCGTGCCCCCTGTCCCATCGAGGCCACTGCATGGCCGGGAATGGCAGCGGGGATGGAGACCTGCAGGGATGGAGACCTGCGGGGCAGGAGGAGCATGAGCCGCCCTGCGCCTCGGCCAAGGGCACGGATGGAGGCGAGAGCCGCTCCGCGCGCCGCCCGCGCCGGCCTCCGCTCCGTGCACGGACCTGGGTGTGGGGATAACAGCCCCAAATGCTGGGGGTGGTGGGGGCAAACACTCGAAGCCCCTGTGCAAGCTGAGAGCAGCTGCCTGGGTTTGGGGCTCGAGATAGGGAACCGCAGCGGGTGCCGGTGCCGCACGCGGGGCCCTGCTGCGCCGCGCGGATAAGGGGCCGGGAGCCGCCTCACGCCGCGTCCTCGCAGGAGCTGGAGAGCCGCAACGCGGAGCTGGAGCGGCGCCTGCTCCAGGCCGAGCAGACGCTGGCCGAGACCCTGGCGGAGCGGGAGAAGATGCAGAGCGAGGTCCTCAAGGCGGCCGAGATCATGGACGTGAAGATCTTCGAGCTCAGCGAGATCCGCCAGGGACTGGCCAAGCTGGTAGAGAGCAACTGAGAAGCGGCACCCGCGGAGGGACCCGCGCGGGGACTGGTCACCCACAGCACTTAGAGCCACACAACAGCCTCACGGCCCCTTCGGGCAGGAAACACCAAATACCAGCAGCTGCCTGGACCGCGCGGAGGAGCCGCAGCCACGGGCCACCCGGGACGGGGCAGAGCGCCCCGAGCTCCCCGGTCCTCCCCGAGGAGCGTCCTCACGTCGCGGCCGGGCTCCTCTGCGCCCGCGTGGCTGTGCGTGGCCCCGAGACAGCAGGCTGTCCCCGTGCTGCTCCCCGGCCTCCCTCCTGCCGACACTTGCATCTCCAACGTTTTTACAGTTCTTTTCTAGGGAAGGGGCTGAGCAGCCTTCGTGTTTTTTCAGTAGTTTTTTAGGGAACCACTTGCCTTTTGCAGAACATGCTGCCTCCGTTTGCCGGTGGCGGCAGGGAGCAGAGGTGCCAGCTCACCAAGGACACCCAGCCCTGACCACAGCGTGTCCAGGAGCATCCAGTATCGCTGGTCACCGTCAGGAGCCCCAGATGTAGCAGAAGTCCCCACCAGAAGTCCAAGGGTGCTGCTCTGCCCGCAGGTCCTTTCCCCTGTTCACTCACGTCCTCCAGAGGAAAAGGAGCTGCCGGGTTTGAAGCTCTTTTTGCTTTAGCACGGTGGGTTTTTAGGGCTGCTTGAAACGGCTTTAAGCTGAGAGCACCGGCCTGGTTGGGATAGGGGCATTGGAGAAAGGGGACACCCACCCCCAAGGGGATGTCCAGCCGATTGCTAGATCAGTTTCTGTCCAGCCTCTATGGACTGCAGTTAATTGGAATTAAATGGAGCAAATCGCAGTTGCTCATGGATTTTTTTTTCTTTTTAATTGAGAAGCAGCCCGCAGCGCTGCCCGGCTCTGGGCAGGAAGGGGACGGGTCCCAGCCTGCCGCGCTCGGCCCGGCGAGAACGGGAAGGATCTGGAGCGAGCTGGGGCTGCGGCGAGTTTGTGGGTTCTCAGCGCTGCCGTCCGGCAATGGGGACGGAGCGAGGCCTGGGGGAGCCGCGGAAACCTGGACGGTCACCCCCGTGGTGCCCTCCAAGGTCCCCCCGCGTCCCTGTGTTCATGCTCAGCCCTGCAGTAGTAATTAGTACCCGCACAGGAGTGTTGCTGGGTTTGGAATTATTCTTGTTGCTGATTTTTGCTCTCTTTGCCGCTATAGGTTAGGCAAAGGTAGCCGTAACCCTGGGAACGTTTCACGGGCCTGCAGGTTTCACTCCCTGCGAGTCCGAGCAGAAGGAGCTCCGGCTCCTTGGGAATCCGCGGGAGCCGAGAGCTGCCGGTGACTGCTGCGTCCGGCAGAGCCCTTCCCTCTCCCGGGGGCATGAGGAAACACCGAGATTTCCAGACCCGCGCGGCTGGGAAAGGGATTTTCTATGGGGATTTGGTTGGATTATTCTTGTTTTCTTTTCTTTTTTTTTGCATGATCCGTTCCCATGACTGTATGGGGCTGGGGCTACTGTAGTAATACTTGTTGCAGGGTATTTAAGAGGGGGGAAGGAAGGACGCTGGGTGGCAGAAAGCCTGAGGGACTTGTTTACTACCCCGTGTCAGTGCTCACGTTTTGTTCCTGCAGGAGCAGCCTTGTTTAAAATAGAGATGAGCTCCGAGAAAGGTGTCTCTGGTCTGGATCTCGCTCGCTGGGGGAGGCAGGGGGGATTCGGGCCTGGGGGAAAAGGGAAGTTTAGGCAATTCCGCGTGTTCTGACTCCCGCTCCCCTCTCGCAACCCTCCTTCAAACCCGCCGAGCGGCACCGGGAACCCGCGCGCCCGCAGCGAGGACGACGCTGACACCGTAGGCTGAGTGCGTGCAGGAGGGCCGAGAAGCCGTGCCAGGAGTTCCGCTTTTGGGGAATCTGCAGGTAACTTCCCCCTTCCCTGCAGGAAGCAATCCTGGCGTCACCCCGGGCTCCGTGTCAAGCGAGGAAGGAGCCAGGGCCAGATTTAAAAACACCTCAGGCAAAAGCCCACAACACCCCGAAGAAGCTCTGGGCTGCTCCTCGTCCCCGTACGTCCCCCACGGCCAAAGCCAGGCTGAGATTCCTGTGCCTATGGAAGAAGCTGCAGCCCCGGAGCACTGTCCTCTTGTCATTGCAGTGTGGAAAATCCCGTTGGGAGCATCCCGAAATACCGTCTTCCCCCGTGCCAACAGCCCAGCATTTGGCACCCCGAGGAGGTAGTTTGGGGTCTGTTAATCACCCATTCAGTGCAAGCTCCTCCGGGCAGCTCCGGCACAATCAGCCCTTCTGGAGCGGGCACGGACAGAGCCCGTTCCCTGCACTCCCTGAACAGCCTGTTCCCTGCAAACAAAAAGCTCCGTCCGGCCCTGGAAACGTCCCCTGGCTCCGGCCGGGCTGTTTCCCAGGGCAGGATGTCCCTCCGGGGCCACTCGCGCCGTGCCCGGCTCTGTCCCTGTCCCCGGCCTCGCTGGGCTCCCTGGCCCGTCCTTTGTCCGGCTCCGGGGAGCACTGAGGCCGTTTTCCTTCGCGCTCCTCTTCCCCACGGCTCCTCATTGCAATTCTCTCCCTGGCCGGGAGAATCTAAATAGAGGCTTTTTCACGAGCTCTGCCCCGTGCCCAGTGTTTGTTAAAAGTCTTTTATTGAGGCCTGGCAGGGCCGTGTGATGGATGGTCCTGGGAGGCACTTTCTGTTGAAATCCTCCCCTCTCCTAAACTAATGAAAACCCATCCATCAGCGGCTCCTTCCACGAACGCCCTCAATCTGCAGTTAGCAGCGAGACAACCTCATTTAGGCTGGCGCAGCAGCCGAGCACTAATTCTGTCTGCCCCACTCTAGCGAGCGTCTTAAAAGGTTTCTGGGTGTATTGAGGAACGGCAGCCCTCGCGCACATCTGCACCGTGCTCTTCCTCGTGCCTTCCTTGTTTATGCTCCTTGTGCTTGAAAAGGGAAAAACGCCGTGTCACAGAAGCCATCGCTGAACAGCAAAGCTGCAGTTTTGTGTTTGCTTCTGCCTCCCAGTAACAATTAGTGTCAGCAGCTAAATAACAGCGGCTTCCTCGCCGGGGGAGAGAGGCTGCTGCCTGCAGGTACCTTGAGAGACCTAATTCTTTTAGCAAATGAGGGTCTTTATTAATGTTCTGCCCATGAATAATTAAGAGAACACGGAGGGAAATGGTTCGCGGCAGGGAGCGGGATGAGCAAACAGCCCCGGTTCGGAGCAGCGCGGGAGAGTCCTGGCCCTCCGGGCCGAGGCCCTTTGGAGCGGCGCAGCAGGAGGAGACGAGCTCTGCTATTGCCAGGAATAGAGCCTCGGAAAAAGGATGTGTCTAATGCAGACGGCACGGGGCAGATGCCAAGAGGCTGAACAGGGATGTAAATGGGAGCCGGAGCGAGCGCAGTCGGAGCGGCTGAGCACGGCGCGCTGCAGCCTCCGGCACCGCTCCAGCTTGGATCCTCCTCCTCCCCAAAGGCCATAACGCCCCTTCCGAAGGGCTGGAATTACCAGCGCTAGAAGGTGCCTGGAGAGCCAAGGAAAGGGAAGCGCAGGTCAGGGCAGTTAATGCACTAAGTCCATGGGCGCTTTTAAACTAAAATCTTTGTTTAAAAGGTCCTTCCTTTTAAACAACAAAGTACCCTAACAGATTGACTTTGATGTCTGTATTTTGTGAGAGGCACCATCGTGGATGGAGCAAGACCTTAGTGGAGTGGGAAGCAGCAAGGCTCTTCATGCTAAGTAGCAGAATGTTCCAACTTAGGGGAATTAGTAATTAAATGGCACCAATAAGAGAAAATAGGTGCCTTAACCCGGGTGAGCTCCCGCCTCAGGCCTGGGGAGATCAGCTGCTCCGTTACTCCCAGGACAGGTTATTTTTAGGTCAGAAATGGCCTGTTTGCACTTGGCAGCGCAGGCGAGCGGCCGGGGGTGCATAACCCCTCGCATGCACGTGCTTTCTGTGCAATTAAACGTGTGCTGTGGAAGGGGGCCCATAAACCCGAGCTAAGCCCCCGAGCTGCAGGGAGGTTTGCAAGCCCCTCTCCAGAGCAAGGGGGAATTATTCCTGGTGTTAGGCCGGGGTGTGGAGAAGCAGGTCCTGCTCCCAGGGAGCCCTGCACAAGCTCTTGCCTCCTCCAGCAGCTTCCTGCCACCGTAGCAAAAAAGGAGCCACCAGAATAAGGCTGGAAATGAAACACTTGAAATGAGGCAGGGGGAAAATCCCTGCTGTTTCTTCACTGTCTCCGTTTTGCGGTCTGGGCAGTGGCAGGGAGGAGACGGGTCTCCAGCATCACCTGCATCAAAGCTCCACGTGTCCAGACAGCTGCAGGCGAGCCGGGAACGAGGGAGCGCCGCAGAGGAGCTGGATTAATCAGCAAACCCTGGCAAAGAGGTGAAGGTGCAGCAGGGAAAGGGCCGGTTCGGTGAGGAAAGGGCCGGAGCGCGGGGGAGCCAGGCAAGGCTGGAGCGCCGCAGGGATGCGGGATGCTCTGCTGCGCGCGGGGCTGCGGCTCCCACATCTCCCTGCTCTTCCAAGGGGATC